AATCGAGAATAGATATAGAAGTCTATTGATCACAGCATCCACTAAATTATCATGATGTGGATTCGTCATCCTAACCTCTCTAAAAATGGATAACAAATTTAAACTAAGGTGTGGAGAGTAACATTAACGAATTGATTTTAATTGATGCCTTGACATGAAACTAGAATGCCTTACAATGTTATTAATACTTGAAACATCAGAATAATTATTTAAGGTGGACCAAATATCAGTTTCAGTGACATCTATATATGCTGAAAAGACTGCTCAAGACTTGACGCTGAAATAGCTAATTAACTTCGGTTAACTAAAAGGGAACGCTCGCTCTCTGCCAGGGGTCAGTCCGGGTTGAGTAAAGTAAGGTAGAGATTATCTATTTTATAATTCTAATTTGACAACACAAACAGAGTATAAATGCTGACATGACAAATATAAAATAAAAAAAATGTGAAAAGACGCGCAGATTTAGAATTCATGTTGTCAAATAAGGAAAAAAATAAGGGAGGCGTGTGCAGTTTAAAATTAGATGATCTTTAACAGACTATATATGCTGACAAATTTTATAAAAATGATAAAATCTCTGTATTAAAACACATTAGAAAGGGCGCACAGACTTAGAATTCATGTTGTCCAATACAATAAATTTGACAAAATCTAGCAAAAATACAACGAATGAATAAAATTATTTATTTAAAATTGGGACCATCAAAAAAGAAAAGTACCTATTTATAAAAATATTATTTGTTTCGGGCAGTTATCAATAACATCGTTGTAGTTTAAAGATAGGTTGAGCGAAGATGATTTTTATCTCTCTTTCGGCAATAAAAACTTCGCTCACCACTGCAATTGCTGACTGCCGTGCACGCATATTCTTCGTTTAAGAACTTTAGCGCGCACGCCTTTGTAATCTCGCGCCTCTAGGTATGTTTTTTTTATAGGATAAGCGTGACAAACGAGCACACATTCCACCTGATGGTAAGTGGTTGCTGCGGCCCATAGACATCTACATCTATCCTCGCATGCGAATCAAAATGCAGATGCGTTGTCACCCGTGAGGACTAAGATAGAATGCCTCATTTCCAGTAAAAAGGGCCTCCGGCCACCTGCACTCACCAAGCGAAACACAGAGGTAAACCTCTACTTCACGCTGGTATTCCGTGAGGTTGTAGTACCACCCCGGTTCGAGCCGGCCCATCCGTGCGACAGCAAAAGCTGCCGCGTGGCTCTACCCCTGTTAAAATGTGCCTAGTTTGCCTTAAAAATAATCCGCCACCGTGGCTAGTGTTAGTTTAGTAGCTAGTAAAATAATGGCCCCTGAGCTACAACAGTTTGACCTGTACTCACTTTCATATTTGCGCAATTATGGCGCAATTGCACTATTTTTTTATAAATAAGCCACCGCTTGACTACTAAACCTCCAGATGGAGAGTAGTGATGGCGAAGATGATGAAGCGCACTGACTTAACTTGACAAAAAACTATTCAGTCTCGCCTTAAAGATACTAACATTGTAATCGGATGGAAAGACTAAGTTTTTATTATTAAAGTAAAAATTAATCATGCCTGAGAAATTAGAAAAAATATTCCAAAGACATTCGTAGCGCACCGACATGCATGAGGCGGCGAACACTTCCTTGCTCTAAAACTCTCTCAGAAATTAGAGGATACTTAGGTTCATTAGTAGGGCATATTTTATTTGGAAAATAAGTCCCATAGGGTATCTTGCTGGTTCTTCCCAGGACAAACGTTTTCTCCAAACCAGTGGTGAAAGTAAAAAATTACTTTCAATAAGAATGATCCGCGAATTTTTCTGCCACTTAGACGCCACTTAGAATCAAGTGTAATAATTAACAGATTTCATAGCGGGGAAGTCAATTTGTTCGAAAAATGTAAAGTTTAATGTTTATTTCTATACTATTAGTTACATTTTACATTAATTTGAATAAAAATATACACTAAACGAAACCAAAGACATTCATAAAAGTAAAAAAATAGAGATAAAAATGTGCATAAAATTAAAGAGCAAACCACTTAGGCATTGTTTTGTGTATTGTTATAATACTCTAGAGAATGCTAAACTTTTATTTAAAACTTACTTCTCAATTGAGTGACATTGTGTAATAAAAAACTTCACCTCAGTATGAACTAGCGACATCTGGTGAACGGTAGATTATTAGTCCTCATTACATGTTGTAATCTAATCTGTATTGAATTAAAAAATTATTCTATTCTATTCTTTACTTTACTAAATTCATCTCAAAAGAAAAATGTTTGTAACATATCAACACACAGTCAAGTTAAATAAGCGTTCTTTTTTTTAATAACTGACCTTACGGCTCCGGATTCTAGTTCTTCTGAGCCTGAATAAGCTTTCCGTTTTGCAATACCTCAGAATAAATAATAGTACAAGAACTGATGCTGGCACAGAGTACTAAAATCAGCATAAGATAGATTAAAAATTTCCCAAGCATAAACGCTACCGGCGACGTTGTTAGCGCAATCTTTTCTCTTGTAAACAAAGGAAAATAGAATGGATTGCCGGCGATATTTCCTGATTAGTTATTGCGAGTGCGGAGGTCGACACGGAAAGAGAAAAACAAGCGGCCATTTTGTCTCAGATATTTAACGACTCGTTTCTAATTTCCCGCCAATTTTATGGATGGAGGATATTTTGTTTTCGGATAAACAACATTACAAATAAAATACTTTTTTTTTATAGAAGAGGAAGCAAACAAGCATGCGGCTCACCTGATGGTAAGTAACTACCGCCGCCCATGAATAACCGCAACACCAGGGGAATTGCAGATGCGTTGCCGGCCTTTTAGAAAGGCTCTTTTCTTGAAGGTTCCTAAGTCGTATCAGTCCGAAGAAATCGCCGGTGGTAAACAATTCCACAGAGAAGTTGTACGAGGAAGAAAACTCTTAGTAAAATGCACAGTCGTGGACCGCCAAGCATCCAAATGGTGAGGATGGTATCTTGAATTTGACGAGATGTGCGTTCGTGAAATTTGGAATTAATCCAAACAATTCCTCAGAGCACTCCCTGTGGTAAATTCGATAGAAAATGCAAAGGGATTCAACATCCCTACGCAATCCCAGTGTATCGAGCCGATCAGAAAGAACTCGGTCGTCGAGGACTCGAACCGCTCTGCGCTGGATGCGGTTAAGTGGATGGAGCTGGCACTGGGGAGCCCCGGCCCAGAGATGAGAACAGTATTCCATGTGAGGCCAAACTTGCGCTTTGTAAAGTTGCAAGCGATGTGCCGGCATGAAATACTGTCTCGCTCTGCTGAGCACGCCAAGCTTTTTAGAGGCCAATTTGGCCTACCCTTCCAAGTGACCACGAAATTGCACACTATTCGATATGTCGACGCCGAGGATTCCGATGCTAGCTGAAGCAGCAAGGGTAGTTAGGTATATATATATATATATATATACCTAACTATGGCAAATTACAGCTTTGTGGTACCTAGTGTCTCTGAGGAAAAACGCAGATGGACATGGCGAAATTATAAGGGTTCCTTTTTGTGTAATTACTTAACTTTTTGTGTAACCTTTTTGTGTAAGCTAAAGCCAAAATAGTCAGTCTCGGTTGGTTTTTCATTTCCAAATAGATATTCTAATAAAAGTCTTATTATAATTAATAAGAAACATTTCTTTATTCAGTTTTATTTTTATTTGAATTCATTTGAATATTAAAAATGTACGTAAATAATAAGTAAAAGGATCTTTATACTCGTAAGTAGGCGGCGATTAAAAGCATAGCCTATTTTCGTTTATCGAGGGCATGAATTTGTTGAAATTTAGGTCGTACCACACAGTGGTTGACTTTTAATAAACGTCAGTTTAGGTACGCGTATTTTAAGCAAACAATATTCGCTTTTCATAAAAGGTTAATAATTAGAGCAGGCATGTGTCAATTAAAATATTAAAAAGTGAGTACATAAATAAAACATGTTATAAAATAAATATAAATAATCAAACGCCTGACAAACTTTAATAGCAAGAAATTAAAATGTAATTCGATTTTATATAAGGGTTGAATTTTCAATCTTCAGTTATTCCTAGAATAAATAGGTGATTAGGATAGGTGGCATAAATATTTAATAATTAGTTTTAGTTTTATTTAATTATTATAAAATACTAGCGATTTGCAAGGCTATGCACGGGTGATTTTTGATCTCAAAAACAGCGCCACCTACCGAGTCAAAATGTGAGTATAAACTATCTAGGAACCCATTCAAACACAAACAAAAAATTTCATCAAAATCGGTCGAGCTGTTTTTGAGTTTTAGCGAGACTTGATTGTTATATATATATATATATATATATATATATATATATATATATATATATATATATATATATATTTATTTATTTATTTTTTATAGGATAGGTTTACAAACGAGTACACAGTCCACCTGATAGTAAGTGGTTGCGGTGGCCCATATACATCTACATCTATCCTCGTTTGTAAATCAAAATGCAGATGCGTTGTCACCCGTGAGGACTAAGATGGAATGCCTCTTTTCCAGTAAATGGGGTCTCCGGTTCTGTACACCATAAGAAACACAGCAGTGTTAAGCTGCTATTTTACGCTGGTATTCTGTGAGAGCGTGGTCCTTCCCCGGTCGAGCCGACCCATTCGTGCTATAACTATACTACTAATATAGCTGCAGCATGGCTCTACCACGTATAAATAAGTATTATGTTATGTAAATAAATAATCATTAATCTGTGTGTTATGATACATTTTTCATTAATTTAAAGTATATTAATGATATTAATGAAAAATGGATCAGCCTGTCAAAATACTTTTCGCCAGGCGATGTCGTTCTCAGAAGTCTTAATAATATAATTAATTTCAAATAAATAGAATATCTAGAAAATTATGTTGAGACTTAATTGTTAAAACAAAATATTTTGTTAATTATAATATTAGTGAGCAAAGAAGTGGTGCTAAATTACTTTGTGTAAAGACAATTCGTGATAGCGTTGTTCAAAATGGGTTGTGGGTCGTCAGGTCAAGTTATTCCAAGTCAGGATACTTCCAACGACGGACCTAAAGCCGTAAACGGTAAGAGCGTTGGGAAAGGTCACCACGACGATGACGACCTGCCGACTGTCGTGCTGCCTGATACACCAGTTAAACCAAAACCACGTAAGTGTCATGATGCTTATCACCATAAACGTGCATGTTTTTTTTTTAAATTTTAGAAGCCGCTATTCCTTTTCTAACCAGGAGTTCATTTGGATAAGTACCACCCTCTTAATTATTATTTGTGATATCTACCGATATACATATCTATTTTTGCCGCCAAATAAGATTGCATGCACTGCTGTGCTCCGTGCGTCTGAAGGGTATAGAGCCAGCATAATTACAGGCTATAAGGCATAAGGCTTTGTTTCCACAAGAGATGTGCGAGGATGCGTAGCGAGGGTTGTGTTTGTTAAGAACCAATAAAATCACTTCATTTCGCCTCGCTCAGTGCAGCTCTGGTGGAAACGGCTCAGCGGTGCACGGTTTTTGTATATACAAAACCCTTGTTCTCATACTAAAATATATTCTAATAGTTTCCTTCCCTTGAAGGAGGTGTGCAAGGGATGTATTGCGAGGATTGTGTGTGGGGGATGTGTTGCGAGGGATAAGTGCTAGGGTACAACGCAAGAACGGAGAAATGACGGCTCCGTGGTGAAGTGGCTTAGCAATGAGTTGCAACGCTAAGGGCCGCGTGTTTGAATCCCGCACGGAACAAGTATTTGTATGGCATACAAATACTTGTTCCGGGTCTGGATATTTGTCCTTGTAAAATTTGTGTATGTAAACTGTCCCCGCGATACAGGAGAAAATCCTAGTGTGAAGGTAATTATTTTTATAAAAAAAAGAAGCAGCGGGGTGAGGTGTCGTGTGAGCGGAGCGCGCGCGCCACTGCCACTCGCCTTTGAACCGAGCCCGCTACACATCCTTGCACCGCTCATCTGCGACCGTTTCACAGCGTCGCTACACCTCCTCGCACCGCTCATCTGCGCACCGTTTTATAGCGTCGCTACGCCTCCTCGCACCGCTCATCTGCGCACCGTTTCACAGCGTCGCTACGCATCCTCGCACAGCTCATCTGCGCACCGTTTCATAGCATCGCTACACCTCCTCGCACCGCTCATCTGCGCACCGTTTCACAGCGTCGCTACGCCACTAGGCACCGCTCATCTGCGCACCGTTTCACAGCGTCGCTACACATCCTCGCACCGCTCATCTGCGCACTGTTTCATAGCGTCGCTACGCCTCCTTGCACCGCTCATCTGCGCACCGTTTCATAGCGTCGCTACGCCTTCTCGCACCGTTCCTCTGCGACCATTTCACAGCGTCGGTACGCATCCTCGCACCGCTCATCGGCGACCGTTTCACAGCGTCGCTACGTATCCTCGCACCGCTCATCTTCGACCGTTTCACAGAGTCGCTACGCATCCTCGCACCGCTCATCTGCACACTGTTTCACAGCGTCGCTACGCACCTTTGCACCGCTCATCTGCGCACCGTTTCACAGCGTCCCTACGCATGCTCGCACCGCTCATCTGCACACTGTTTCACAGCGTGGCTACACATCCTCGCACCGCTCATCTGCGCACCGTTTTACAGCGTCGCTACACATCCTCGCACTGCTTATCTGCAACCGATTCACAGCGTCGCTATGCATCCTCGCACCGCTCATCTGCGCACCGTTTTATAGCGTCGCTACGCCTCCTCGCACCGCTCATCTGCGCACCGTTTTATAGCGTCGCTACGCCTCCTCGCACCGCTCATCTGCGCACCGTTTCCTAGCGTAGCTACGCATCCTCGCACCCCTCATCTGCGCACCGTTTCACAGCGTCGCTACGCATCCTCGCACAGCTCATCTGCGCACCGTTTCATAGCATCGCTACGCCTCCTCGCACCGCTCATCTGCGCACCGTTTCACAGCGTCGCTACGCTACTAGGCACCGCTCATCTGCGCACCGTTTCACAGCGTCGCTACACATCCTCGCACCGCTCATCTGCGCACTGTTTCATAGCGTCGCTACGCCTCCTTGCACCGTTCCTCTGCGACCATTTCACAGCGTCGGTACGCATCCTCGCACCGCTCATCGGCGACCGTTTCACGGCGTCGCTACGTATCCTCGCACCGCTCATCTTCGACCGTTTCACAGAGTCGCTACGCATCCTCGCACCGCTCATCTGCACACTGTTTCACAGCGTCGCTACACATCCTCGCACCGCTCATCTGCGCACCGTTTTACAGCGTCGCTACACATCCTCGCACTGCTTATCTGCAACCGATTCACAGCGTCGCTACGCATCCTCGCACCGCTCATCTGCGCACCGTTTTATAGCGTCGCTACGCCTCCTCGCACCGCTCATCTGCGCACCGTTTTATAGCGTCGCTACGCCTCCTCGCACCGCTCATCTGCGCACCGTTTCCTAGCGTCACTACGCATCCTCGCACCCCTCATCTGCGCACAGTTTCACAGCGTCGCTACACATCCGCGCACCGCTCATCTGCGCACCGTTTTACAGCGTCGCTACACATCCACGCACTGCTCATATGCAACCGATTCACAGCGTCGCTACGCATCCTCGCACCGCTCATCTGCGCACCGTTTCACAGCTTCGCTACACATCCTCGCACCGCTCATCTGCGACCGTTTCACAGCGTCGCTACACATCCTCGCACCGCTCATCTGCACACCATTTCACAGCGTCGCTACGCATTCTCGCACTGCTCATCTGTGCACCGATTCATAGCGTCGCTACGCCTCCTCGCACCGCTCATCTGCGCATCGTTTCACAGCGTCGCTACGCCAATTAGCACCGCTCATCTGCGACCGTTTCACAGCGTCGCTACGCATCCTCGCACCGCTCATCTGCGCACCGTTTCACAGCGTCGCTACGCATCCTCGCATCGTTTCACAGCGTCACTACGCATCCTCGCACCGCTCATCTGCGCACCGTTTCATAGCGTCGTTATGTCTCCTCGCACCGCTCATTTGCGATCGTTTCTCATCGTCGCTAAGCATTCTGGCACCGCTCATCTGCGCACCGATTCATAGCGTCGCTACGCTTCCTCGCACCGCTCATCTGCGCACCGTTTCACAGCGTCGCTACGCCTCCTCGCACCGCTCATCTGCGAACCGTTGCATAGCGTCGCTACGCCTCCTCGCACCGCTCATCTGTGCACCGTTTCATAGCGTCGCTATGCCTCCTCGCACCGCTCATCTGCGCACCGTTTCACAGCGTCGCTACGCATCCTCGCACCGCTCATTTGCGCACAGTTTCACAGCGTCGCTACGCCTCCTCGCACCGCTCATCTGCGCACCATATCACAGCGTCGCTACGCATTCTCGCACCGCTCATCTGCGACCGTTTCACAGCGTCGCTACGTATCGTCGTACCGCTCATCTTCGACCGTTTCACAGAGTCGCTACGCATCCTCGCACCGCTCATCTGCACACTGTTTCACAGCGTCGCTACGCATCCTTGCACCGCTCATCTGCGCACCGTTTCACAGCGTCGCTACACATCCTCGCACCGCTCATCTGCAACCGATTCACAGCGTCGCTACGCATCCTCGCACCGCTCATCTGCGATCGTTTCACATCGTCGCTACAAATCCTCGCACCGCTCATCTGCGCACCGTTTTACAGCGTCGCTACACATCCTCTCACCGCTCATCTGCAACCGATTCACAGCGTCGCTACGCATCCTCGCACCGCTCATCTGCGCACCGTTTCACAGCGTCGCTACACATCCTCGCACCGCTCGTCTGCGACCGTTTCACAGCGTCGCTACACATCCTCGCACCGCTCATCTGCGCACCATTTCACAGCGTCGCTACGCATTCTCGCACTGCTCATCTGCGCACCGATTCATAGCGTCGCTACGCCTCCTCGCACCGCTCATCTGCGCATCGTTTCACAGCGTCGCTACGCCAATTAGCACCGCTCATCTGCGACCGTTTCACAGCGCCGCTACGCATCCTCGCACCGCTCATCTGCGCACCGTTTCACAGCGTCGCTACGCATCCTCGCATCGTTTCACATCGTCGCTACAAATCCTCGCACCGCTCATCTGCGCACCGTTTTACAGCGTCGCTACACATCCTCTCACCGCTCATCTGCAACCGATTCACAGCGTCGCTACGCATCAACGCACCGCTCATCTGCGCACCGTTTCACAGCGTCGCTACACATCCTCGCACCGCTCATCTGCGCACCATTTCACAGCGTCGCTACGCATTCTCGCACTGCTCATCTGCGCACCGATTCATAGCGTCGCTACACCTCCTCGCACCGCTCATCTGCGCATCGTTTCACAGCGTCGCTACGCCAATTAGCACCGCTCATCTGCGACCGTTTCACAGTGTCGCTACGCATCCTCGCACCGCTCATCTGCGCACCGTTTCACAGCGTCGCTACGCATCCTCGCATCGTTTCACAGCGTCACTACGCATCCTCGCACCGCTCATCTGCGCACCGTTTCATAGCGTCGTTATGTCTCCTCGCACCGCTCATTTGCGATCGTTTCTCAGCGTCACTAAGCATTCTGGCACCGCTCATCTGCGCACCGATTCATAGCGTCGCTACGCTTCCTCGCACCGCTCATCTGCGCACCGTTTCACAGCGTCGCTACGCCTCCTCGCACCGCTCATCTGCGAACCGTTGCATAGCGTCGCTACGCCTCCTCGCACCGCTCATCTGTGCACCGTTTCATAGCGTCGCTATGCCTCCTCGCACCGCTCATCTGCGCACCGTTTCACAGCGTCGCTACGCATCCTCGCACCGCTCATTTGCGCACAGTTTCACAGCGTCGCTACGCCTCCTCGCACCGCTCATCTGCGCACCATATCACAGCGTCGCTACGCATCCTCGCACCGCTCATCTGCGACCGTTTCACAGCGTCGCTACGTATCGTCGTACCGCTCATCTTCGACCGTTTCACAGAGTCGCTACGCATCCTCGCACCGCTCATCTGCACACTGTTTCACAGCGTCGCTACGCATCCTTGCACCGCTCATCTGCGCACCGTTTCACAGCGTCGCTACACATCCTCGCACCGCTCATCTGCGCACCGTTTCACAGCGTCGCTACGCCAGTAGGCACCGCTCATCTGCGCACCGTTTCACAGCG